TTCCAAGGCAACCCGTCCAAATTTGCTACAATCCTTGAATCTTTCGCCGTGGTACTAATCCAAAGTGCACCTGATACTTGAAATGAAAGGGTAGCTTATATATATAAAAAACAAAAAAAATAATTGGACAAAAATAAAAAGGAAAAAAAAATTGTGGAGAAATATAAAAATCACGTATTCTTATAATACGTTTTTTTAATTAAAATATTTTAAAAATACGTATTTTGGTAATACGTTTTAAAATTATATTTGTAAAATGTTATTTATTTAAACAATTGAACAAACTGTAGAAAACAAAAAAAAAAAAGAAAAATGCTACATGTACATAATAAATATACGTAGAGGTGTAAATAATACTCACATGGAGTGGGGTCGATCTATTATTTTTGGTAGGTCCTACTCAATGTGAGTGTTATGTACACTCTTATGTACAATATTATGTACATGTAGTATTTCCAAAAAACAAATTAATAAATAAAATGTTAATACGACTTTTATATTTTAAAATTAATGAAAAAAATTTAATATGTAGTATGTGTTTTGTGTTTCAGGCTCGTCTGAACTCGGAATTGAGTTCCGTTTTTTCCTATACGTAGCTAACAAACCCCTCTATTCAATGATGCTTGCATGGCCAAATTATTCTTGAAATCATATTCTTCCAAAACTCTTGACCTATACATTAAACATGTTTCGCGCGACTTTGCTTTTTGGCCCGTTCGGACTCGTTGAAGCTCGAAATTTATTTCCGCTTCTTCCTATATGTCGCCAATGAACCCTTCTACACAATCATGATATCCCGGTCAATTTTCGGGATACTTCTATTCCTCATGGGCTAAATAATTAACAAATCACCCATTCTTCCATTTTTTTCGGCAAGTAATTGCCGTTTTCATGGGCCCCGCAGGGTCGCGTTACATTTTGCTTTATCGAAAAAGAATCCGGTACGTGTAGATCGATCCCGCACGATGTCATTCGAGCCATTTATCGAGTATTTTGGAGTCTGCCGGGAAGAAAACGGACAACAGATATTTTTTTTTTCTATTCCGTCATTACCGGCGAGCTTCATTTCATGCGGCGACTTCGGGTACCCCATCGGCCCTCGTTAAGCGGGCCGAGCATTAGCGAGAGTACTTTCAAGAAAGCATGAGTTAATTTGCCGAGTTCGAGCGTCCGAGTGCAACAATATAATACTTATCTCTTCCCAAACTTTCTCTTTAAATAAGTCGATCATTCCTTATGATCAAGTATTTCTCCACTTCAAATGGAGGTTTCTAAATCTTCTCAAGCTACTAAGGTTCTTCAACCTATAAAAACCTTATGCATTCTTGGTGGTCCTAAACTTGTCAATTTTCCTCATAATATCCATGTTGTAAGTCAATTGGTGAGAGAGTTGGGAAAACAAAAGATCAACTTACTGTATGGAGGAACTAGCATCATTTTCTTTTATAACCTTTTAATGGCTGCCAAATATTTTGATAGAGAGGTGAGAAGTATCTTCCCTTTTTATATCACTCCAACAAAGGTTGTCAAAGATTCTACAACTTCGACTGGTTTCCCTATGAACAGTACCTAGAGGATGGTACTATCCAGGATGAGTGCACAAAAGATCAACATATTTGGATGTATAGGGGATGGATCTTCTGTTGGTACATACGTGAAGTCCACTTGTCTGATAAGGTTCTCCGTCAGTTTGGGTGTCAGCAGTCCATCCCCCAAATCCGATGATTAGTGATAAGCAAGAATGAGAGACACACCACAGAGGCCAGGGAATGACTGGGAGGGCATTTGCTGATTAGGCCGCCTTTCATTCACAGTTTACCAAGGGTTGAGTCTATGAAAAAGAACAAAATGTCCTCCAAGATGCCCCTGTGGATCACTTCCTACAGGCTGAAGAGGGTTAAATTGATTGGTTTTATACTAAGACTGTGAGACTCATCAGTGACCCTACCAAGTACACGGTGATCCAAAAGGACGGTGGCTATCAGACAGTTGCCGTGCGGGAGAAGTGCGATGTAAGTGTTCATAATTTGTGGTTTTTTTTTTGTTTTTTTTTTGGTGTTTCATACTAATTACCTTGAATTTTATTTTCAGACTCCAACTCTAGAGGGGGTTTATAACTTGTTAGCGAATATTCAAGACATCTGTCCTACACTCCTTCCACGGGCGCAGACCGCATTCCAATAGTCCTACAACATTGTCTATAGTTATCTGACCAACAGTCCTACAACATTGCCTATAGTTCTCTAACTGTTGGAGGCCAAGAGGTCACACAAGGGGCGTCGTTGAGTCAAGTTCTATCCGAGGAGGACTACGTCCCATCCCAGATTACACAGTCACCCAGGGCGAGGCATCAGCTGCCAATATTGATAGAGGTAGAAGACGTCGTGACCGCAAACGACAACAATAGCCGTTCGGACTGTCTAAACACGAAATTGAGTTTTGTTTCTTCCTATATGTCGCCAACGAACCCGTCTACACACCCATGATTGCCCGGTCAATTTTTGGGTTAAATCTATTCCTCACGGAGCTAAATAATTAACAAATCACCTATTAACAAATCCTCTGTGGATCATCTATTTATATAATGAGTGATTTGTTAATTATTTAGCCCGTGAGGAATAGATTGAGCCCGAAAATTAACCAGACAATCATGGTTGTGTAGATGGATTCGTTTGTGACATATAAAAAGAAGCGGAAATCAATTTCGAGCTTGGACGAGTCCGAACGGGTCCAAAAGGCAAAGTCGCGCGAAACACGTTTAATGTGTAGGTCAAGAGCTTTGAGAGAATATGATTTCAAGAATAATTTGGTCATGCATGCATCATTGAATAGAGGAGTTCGTTAGCTAGGTATAGGAAAATACATAACTCAATTCCGAGTTCAGACGGGCCCAAAACACAAAACACATACTATATATTAATTTTTTTATTCATTATTTTTAAAATTTAAAAAGTACTATCAAAATACGAATTAATTCCTAATTATTTGTTTTGTTCTTAACTTTTTGTAAAACGTATAACCAAAATACGTTATACTTATTAATTTTTTTTACAACGTATTATGTGAATACGTTTTATTCTGTAATATAAGATTTCATAGTAAAACATATTCCGAGAATACGTTTTACACTTTAAATGTATTCTCAGAATACGCCCTTTTTATTTTTGTCTACATTTTTGTTTTTGTTTTTGTTTTTTTTTTTTTTTTGTAGAGACCAAGAGGAAGGCCTAAAAAAGGAGGTGACATCTCAGAACAAGTAAGTAGAGATCAACATGTAGCCCAGAATAATCTCCAAACAGGAAGAAGAAGAAGAAATCCTGCTAGAGCAGCCTCTACTAGTTCAATGACATCT